TATTGCTCCCAAACCCAAACCCCAAGCCCAAACCCAAACCCAAACCCAAACCCAAACCCAAACCCAAACCCAAACCCAAACCCAAACCCAAACCCAAAACCCAAACCCAAACCCAAACCCAAACCCAAACCCAAACCCAAACCCAAACCCAAACCCAAACCCAAACCCAAACCCAAACCCAAACCCAAACCCAAACCCAAACCCAAACCCAAACCCAAACCCAAACCCAAACCCAAACCCAAGCAAACCCAAGCAAACCCAAACCCAAACCCAAACCCAAACCCAAACCCAAACCCAAACCCAAACCCAAACCCAAACCCAAACCCAAAACCCAAACCCAAACCCAAACCCAAACCCAAACCCAAACCCAAACCCAAACCCAAACCCAAACCCAAACCCAAACCCAAACCCAAACCCAAACCCAAACCCAAACCCAAACCCAAAACCCAAACCCAAACCCAAACCCAAACCCAAACCCAAACCCAAACCCAAACCCAAACCCAAACCCAAACCCAAACCCAAACCCAAACCCAAACCCAAACCCAAACCCAAACCCAAACCCAAACCCAAACCCAAACCCAAACCCAAACCCAAACCCAAACCCAAACCCAAACCCAAACCCAAACCCAAACCCAAACCCAAACCCAAACCCAAACCCAAACCCAAACCCAAACCCAAACCCAAACCCAAACCCAAACCCAAACCCAAACCCAAACCCAAACCCAAACCCAAACCCAAACCCAAACCCAAACCCAAACCCAAACCCAAACCCAAACCCAAACCCAAACCCAAACCCAAACCCAAACCCAAACCCAAACCCAAACCCAAACCCAAACCCAAACCCAAACCCAAACCCAAACCCAAACCCAAACCCAAACCCAAACCCAAACCCAAACCCAAACCCAAACCCAAACCCAAACCCAAACCCAAACCCAAACCCAAACCCAAACCCAAACCCAAACCCAAACCCAAACCCAAACCCAAACCCAAACCCAAACCCAAACCCAAACCCAAACCCAAACCCAAACCCAAACCCAAACCCAAACCCAAACCCAAACCCAAACCCAAACCCAAACCCAAACCCAAACCCAAACCCAAACCCAAACCCAAACCCAAACCCAAACCCAAACCCAAACCCAAACCCAAACCCAAACCCAAACCCAAACCCAAACCCAAACCCAAACCCAAACCCAAACCCAAACCCAAACCCAAACCCAAACCCAAACCCAAACCCAAACCCAAACCCAAACCCAAACCCAAACCCAAACCCAAACCCAAACCCAAACCCAAACCCAAACCCAAACCCAAACCCAAACCCAAACCCAAACCCAAACCCAAACCCAAACCCAAACCCAAACCCAAACCCAAACCCAAACCCAAACCCAAACCCAAACCCAAACCCAAACCCAAACCCAAACCCAAACCCAAACCCAAACCCAAACCCAAACCCAAACCCAAACCCAAACCCAAACCCAAACCCAAACCCAAACCCAAACCCAAACCCAAACCCAAACCCAAACCCAAACCCAAACCCAAACCCAAACCCAAACCCAAACCCATCTCTCCACATTCATTGATTCATCATCATGAATACTTAAAACACGTAACAGTTTCGAATACTTTTCTAAATCTAAATATTCACATGATTGTGTAAACATATTCTTTTCTTCTTGACTATCAATTCGATAAATGAATTTTCTTCTTGTCTTGTCATGCCATTGTTGTAGCCAGTCAAAATTTCACCTGGACTGGCAGGTCAAAAATTTGACCTGGAAATTTCAGATTGAAATATTTTCTCAACATCAATCCTCGGCATGATGAAACGGGCTCAATACATGGTGCCAACGAGGTTGTTTTGCATTCAAACCAGTTTCATTGAGGATATTGTTGAAGTATTCCCGATATTAATGTTGTTTGTATTGATTGAGATGATTCGCTTCCTCTAGTAGTTCAACAAGATCTCATCAACAAATTCATCCAACCGTTACATATTGATTTAATAGATCAATAAATAAATAAATTTTTAATAAACAGTTCAATTCCCTCCAAATTGTTTCCCACAAACCAACTTTTTCGATTTTCAATAAAGAAAAATGGGAAGAAATCCATTAAATGGCAAAGTTAGCGTCACTCAGAAAGTTATCGATCAAGTAAGGACAGCCTTAGAATCCAAATCAACCAACATCACTAGTCACGTTAAGAAGATACTCCCTTACTTTAAATTGCAAAATGGTATTCTCTACTTCAACAAGTACAAATCAGAAGAAAAGAAAGTCCTTAAGGATAATCTCACAGATGAGTAATTAGAAAGGATTATCGACATGACTCAACAGCTCCCCAAGGATGTATATGATGTCCAAACAATCAAAACTGATAAATGGGTTCAAATTCTCAAAGAACATGAATATGAAGGCATTATTATCGATATTCATGTCAATCAAGGTCATGCAGGTCGAGATATTTGTGAATCAGTTGCTTCATCAATGTATTACATTCCAAAGTTCCAAGAAAAATTCCAGAAGGTAAAAAGTTCTTGCGAGAGTTGCAGAACTAAAGAGGCATCTAAAGCTATCGTATTGGAAAATCATTATGATCCTACTTGTGTTGGAGAATTAGTTTTTGTTGAATGTGCATTCTTTCCCAAATGTGGAACAACTGATGGTTGGGTAGTATTTGTTGATGGTTTATCCAAATATGTGTTTGGATTTATATTATACTCTAGCAAAAAGTCAAGTGTTATTGCCTCTCATGCCCAGCAAGTAATTGATTTCTTCAAGGCAAGAGGTGTGAATAAGGTTACTTTTGTGTCTGACAACGGTGGTGAATTCAAATCTCAAGAAATTGAAGAGTTTTGTTCCAGCCAAGTAGGCATTGAGGTTAAATGACATTATGTATTAACAGGGAGACCAAAAGCAAATGGTATGGTTGAACGTTTGCAAAAAACCATCAAAAAAATGATACGTGTAATTTTGAAATACTTCCAATCTCGTAGTTGGCCAACTTATTTTCCAACAGTGATTTTGAATATTAATATACGTCCTCACACCTCAACTGGCTATTCGCCAGAATTTGTCATGAACTCCCTTCATCCGATTATGACTGATGACATAATTTCCAAACAAAGGATGTCTCAGATAGCAATGGATCGAAGAATCCTAATCGCAGAACTCCGTGAAAACATCGCACATAAGAACGCTAAAAACACGAAGAACCAAATAAGACGAGCTACTGTTGGTGGTGCAACCATCGCTGGACCAATAGCAATTGATTGTGCAGTATTAGTGGCTCCTCCTACAGCTCAATTAAAAACAAAAGATTCTGGTTTTAACAAGAAGGCTGTTGTAGTCGAAAATTGTGGTAATGGCTACTATAAAATTCGTTTCCAAGAAACAGGAGGATACAGACAAACTGAGACCGTTGGAAGCACAGCAACTTACCATCGTTCACATTTGAAACCATATTCTTTTGGTGATGATCATCAATTAACAATGGAACAACCAGAGGTGATTCCAGATGAATCTTGCTCAAAACGAATCGAAGAGGAAATGGAAAGACTTGAGTTGGAAGATATGAGTGATCTTGAAATTGGCTTGGAAGATTTTGAGGGTTGTCTAGCACACCTTGCAGAGCCGCCACTTTCCGATAACACTTGGATGTCGGAACCAGGGTCATCTCAAGATCATATTGTTCCCCATATTCAAGAAGCAAGTCCAACGGCCAATGACGAAACTAAGGAGAGTGAACCTCCACAAGTAGCACAGACATCCCTCTCATCTGAACGGACCGTGATGATATTTTTTTAATCGGAATTTTTAAAAAAAATATTTTGACGTGATGAAAAACGTTGCTAGCCATTTATTTCGTGGTAAACAAGCCTCATCAACACTCTCTTTCTCTCGGTTTTTCAGAGGTGTAGTTTTTGGTGTTGATACACTTGGTTCAGACTCTAACCTCTCACTTCGGAAATCTTTGTCCAATCATCACCATACAAGGAACACTTCGGTACGCTCTTTCCATACATTATCTTCCTTGTTGGCAAAAGATGAAGTAACAACAAAAAGTCTTTCTTCTTCTACCGGACCGGGAGGAAACGGAAGTGGTGCTGAGCACAACCATGTAGAACAACCAACTGCTTCTGATGATCCCAACCAAAAATCAATCTGTATGGCACCACAACCAACAGCTAATAATAACTCTCCCATTCAAGTAGTGTCCACAATAGCTCTCTCCTTCACTAATTACGAGGAGTGGACAAAGGAAGAAGTTGCTTCTATCCTTTGTATGAAGAAAGGTGAAGGTGGAGCCTCATTGACCGTTGATGATGTCAAACCTCTCGTTGACGCTGGTTTCAAAGGAAACTCTCTTGATAACATTGTTCATAACATCAAAGAGGTCGGAAGGCAAGCTGCTATTTCTTTGTTACAAGACAAGTTCAAGGACAAGAATGGGATGATTGAACTTCGCCTTTCTGATACTTGTTCAAGCGTGGTAAATTGGGTGTACAATACTTTGATGCCCAATCTTCAAATTGAACCATTTCATTATTTCCCAAGAAGCGAAAGAGAACTCTTAACCAAAGCAGATGAAATTCTTGAAGGTAATATTGATTCTGATGCAAAACGTACCAACCTACCAGAGACGTATAAACAGTGGTACTTGTCATTCTGTAATTTAGTAATCAAGGGCCAAGCTCAAGGTAAAAGAACTCACTCTGAAAAAGAAAATTACTCTGTCGATTTACTGAAACTCTTTTCAAATGCAAGAGATATTATATTCAGCAACGTAAATACAGACAGTATATTGAACAAATCGAATTTTGAGACAGTCATGAATAACATGGTGAATGATCTTTTAAAGAAAAAGGATCTTGAAAAGGAGTTTTTTATGAGGAATTTGCTTACTCCCTTTAACACACGCTGTCCATCCCAATTTGTCAGAGATGTTTTTGTTCCAACTAACTCCACAATGATAACAAAAGATTTGTTTCCATTCCTCCCAAAATTACAAGTCGATCTGTTTAATGAAAGTGAAAGAAAGACGTTGGACCAAAAAATTCGTGATGGATCAACAATTTGCGTGATTGGGCCCTCAGGTGTGGGTAAAACTGCTTTGGTAATTATTATTATTATATTATTGTTTAATTTGTTAAACTTTTAACTAATACGTTTTACAGCTTGCAAGAAGATTAGGAGTCAATCCAGGAATTATGATAACATGTACATCTCTGTCTGATCGGCAACATCTTTCGGAACGTGGAACTGACCAAGCTTCTGATAAGTTGAGAGAAACATTTGTACTCACCATGACACAATCTGTTATCAAGCTCTACGCTACTGCTGCTCAACAAGTTCAATGTAATTTTATTGCAAGATTACTGTGCCTTCATACTGCATTAACCATCTGGGAACAAACGGATAACAAAACACCTTTCGAAACTCCTCTTCAAATGTTATCCTACTCTCAATGGAACGGCAATACAAAGACTGTAGCAAATATATTCAACACATTGTTGGAACGTCAATGGCTTTCTTTACCAACTGAAACTTTAAGAGATTTCACAATATTTTTGATCGAACAATTATATTCAAGGTTGAAGCTGGATAAGCAACCATTTATTATTGCTGTTGACGAGGCAAATATTTTCTCTATTCTCCATACTCCAATGTTATCTGCGAACGGTACACCCAGGGATTTATTGTCACTGATTGCATTCGAAATTTCTCAACTTAGAAAGAAGACTTATATGAAAATTAGTGATATTTATTGTGGAACCATGTTTACAACTGACATTGTTGATATTATTCAATCATCGATTGGAAAATTAGAGGATGTTTGCCATGTTTACTCCTGCGTTGGTTTAGATTCCATCACTTTTGAGCAAGCATTACAAATATTAGACAAAATGTATGATATTGAAGCAATTTTAAAATCGTCCAATATCTCCAAAATTGATCTTTATCACTCTATTCAACACATATTCCCAACAAGAAGAAGAGTAGTTGGGCTTGTTGCCTCTTATTTAGAAACAACAAAAACTCTCGATATTGAAGAAAGTTTCAGAAGAAAGTGGAAAGAGTTTGTGGATCAGGTGGAAAAAAATGTTTTACATAGATTTGATTGTAAGAAGTCAACAGACCGTCTTGATCTTAATTTTTTGTTGGACGTAGTAATCACAAATGAATATGATGCCTTTTTAGGGAAATCAATTTCTTGCGACAGAACATTAGCTTCTTCATTAATAGGAACTGGATTAGCAAAACCAAATTTTGACTTTTATGATACTAACAGCGATATGTATCATTTTGATACCTCAGACCCAATTCTTAAACATGTTGCAAAAGAGGTTTTAGAAAAGAAATATCCAAACTCAATTACAAAAATCAGTAACCCAATCTCAGTGTTGAATTTGCTATTATCTCTCCCTCAACATGACCCTAAGAAATGGGAAATGGTATTTTCTCTTTTATTGCAACACCATAGTGGAAAGTGTATTAGGGACAACTTGATCCTTTCACCATTAATATTAGGTGAGAATACAACAACCGAGATAAATGACAAATCAAACACTGACACAACATCGGAGAAAAAGAAAAGACCATATACTCTATTACTTGACCACAAATTTGTGATCAAATCATTTATTCGAACTAACGATTTTTATCGCAAGCATTACACATCAAAATGGGCCCAAGAAGTCCTCACAAACACTGACAATATTGACAGCAATATGTTGGGAGATATTTTATACTTTCATTGTTTGTTGAACTATAACAAACATATAGAAGAGAGTTCTACTAACAATACCATTACATTTAAAGACCTTATTGATGGGGTATATTTTTATCCCTCTTTGAATTGTCATGCTGATGGTATTTGTTTAAACTTTTCAGAGCAACCTTACGGTATTATTGTGAGCAACAAATTACATAATTGCCAGAGAAAAACATTTTTAGACCAGATTAGAAACGGCGTCAAGTGTGTGAATGCGAATAATTTCTACAAAGCAAAATTTGGCCCAGAAGTAATTGGAAACTGTAGGACCTGGTGGACGACTGAGAAACAGGAGTTTCTAGCAACATTAACTAAGAATGAGAGACTAATACCTCTCGTGGCACATATACATGTAAAATATCAACAAATCACAACAAAGAAAGGTGAAGGTTTTACTAAAGATTATTCTGAAGGAGGAAAATATTTAATTCTGAATCCAGATTCAAATGATTTAATGTCACTCTGTCCTGATTTGTTTAAACTTTTACAGAAGAATCTATTTAATACTGCGATTATTGATAATTTGAACACAGAGGAGCATGAATGAATATCTGTCCAAGTTATCCCATAAAAAAATTGTAGGTATCTCAAAAACCGTAAAGTTATCCCTCCCGCTAAATTCTAGTTATCCCTTATTGTCAGCAGGTCCCTAGAATTAAGGAACAACCACTCAAGTTAGCCGTTAAAAATTTAGAAAAAAAAACGTGTGATGGACAAACGAAAAACACCAACCTGAACCTGATATGTTCTGAACTTAGTGAAGGGCATGAATGTTTCGATTGTAAACAATTAAAGAGTTTGGTTGAGCTTGAAAAATTTTTTTCCATGCTCAAAAAATTTTCTGCATATTAACGATTAGTCTCTCTTTGCGTTGCTTAGTGACTTCCCACCCATTCACACTCCCACCCACTTGCTTTCTTAAGCTTATTCAAGTACATTTTTCGCTGATCGGAATGTTCTTGTGGTAAGGAAGAACATTGTGACAGTGCAGGTCCACCTTGATTCGAATCTTTTCGGCAAGGATTTTATTGAGCTAACTATATAATTTTGTTATTTAATTTCATTTATTTAATTCATCATGTTTTCATGATATTCATGGATTTATCAAGCAATTGTTTAAATGCGACCTCATATCATGGAGTCTTCGTCTCTGCCACCTAACTGTGACTTCTTGCGCTTCACATCATGTAGTCGTTACTTCTGCCTTCATCCTTCCTGCTTCCTTGCGTTTCTTTGGTTTTCTCCTTTTTTTTTTCCGCTGAGCGGTTTTTGGAGTTTTTTACCTTCTCAAATCTTAATTAATGCTCGGGACTCTGCTGACTAAAGTCAATTGACAAAATATGCAGAAAATCCCACAAACACCGGACATTTATTAAGGTCGGGTGTTTGAAGAGACCACAAACCCATTAGTCCTTCCTTTAATTAACAAACGAATTTTATTGTTTACTCTTTCGAAACATACAAGAAACTAAATACATAATTTCAATCTCTGAAATTTCCAATATATCATCCTGTCTTTCATATAAATTCTTCATATCAATTTCAGAATCATCATTGAATTGGTTGTCTATCAATGCACTCTTCATGACTAATGAATATTATAGACTCTACTCACAAAATTATTGATAAAAACTTGATTGACTACACATTAATTGTGTCATCAATGATATTAAAGCTCATTAAAGTGAGAAACACACAAGGTTGATTGCTCGTTGTTGAACATTCTCATAATTGACAGAAATCAACAACATGTGTAATGTGTTTGATGTACTTCATTATAATCAACAAATTTTACTACACGGACTTCCAGCAATGAATACAACAGTTGACAAAATTATTGAGAAAATCTCTTGTCTGTATCGTGGATATGAAGAATTCTCTTATTTGAAGGACACAAAGGCAATGACATGGTTCAAACATGAAATTCCTTTTTGTGTGAGGCTCTTCACAACCACTCTATTTGAGTTAAATACATCAATTACAAGGAGAAAAACACATATTCAATCATTAAACACAAACCTGTTCAAAACAGTGCTCTTCTTGTCATCATTGACAACACAAAGAGCTCTATCATGACTATTCATTCACATTCTCAACAACAAACACTTATACAGTGCTCATCATGATAAACAATAACATTTATTATCACAAGAATGAAATCATTGTCAACGAACTCTCCGTGCGAATTGATCAATCATTGAGTGATTTCATCCAATTTTTCATGCCATGCATATGTTGTCAACAGAACATTCACAAAAAAACTTCTGATTGTGTTATTCAAAGAAATACATTCCAATATTCTCTAAAGACAGTCTACATCTGTTAATTGAGTCAATGAAACGTTGAAATCATCAATGTGATATGATTGTCATGCTCAGTGATATTGTACTCAACACCATGATTAATGATTCACACTGGTTCCAACAAACACAATTATAGTGTGTAACATACTTGGATACATCACATATATCAATTTGAAAAACTATCAACTTGTATTTATTGTTATAGAGTTCAATTTAACATTTTCTCTGGAACTTTCTATCATTTTTGAACTTGTAAAAAAAAAATTTCGGTTCACCCCACTCAAGCAAAAACCGACTCTTCACGAGAAGAGCTTCACTATTTCAAACATGTCTCATTCTTGATGAAATAAACAATATAAACATGTTCTAGTGATCATACAGAAGGGGAATTGCAAGATCCATGACATATAAAAGTCCATATCTCAACCACTCTCGATACTCTCCAAAGTCTGAGTTTGAAATGTACTTTAACATCACAACATATCACTAATACAACAATATCCTCTATTTTATTGTACTACATGCGTGTTGACATCACCTAAATCGTTTCCACATGTTGTCATCATGTATTTATCGTATATGAGTGAAATTTAACATTTTCGCTGGGACCTTGTATCATTTTTGAACTTGTAAAATATTTTCAATCCAAAAAATTTTCGTTCAAGCTATAATTCACTCACCATGAGGAGAGCTTCACTGTTTCATACTTAGTTGACAATTGATGAAATAAACAACATCTATACATCCTAGTTGTCATGTAGAAGGTGTATTACAAGATTCATCTCATGACCATAACCATGTCTCTCACAATGGCAACTAATCTGAATTATTGTCTCTGTTGTGATTAAGGTCATCACCAAGTGTCACAACTCTCACTATACCCTCTATGTGATGTCCACTACTTGTATTATCATTTTCAACTTCAACTTCAAATCATATTACTGACAGTGTCCCTCCTCCTGGGGTGACAAATTTTTTCCCTGGAGGTATATGGTTGACCAACTTTAGGGATGCTCCACGGTCCGAAGAGTGTCTCCCAACCTCTCAAATTTCATTTATATATCGTTCATGAGTACTACTATCATTGAGGGATTATGGGGCATGTTTGCATGACTGCATCAATTTATTTAATATATCAACCTGAGGGCTATGAAATTTACCGTCGCACAAGTTCCAGCGAAAACGTGAAATTTTTTTCTTTCTTGTGAACGACATAGCAGAACAAATAACCGAGCAAGATCCTATCGTTATAGGTCCTAAGACAACTAAATATGTTGTTTATTTGAAAATTTAAAATTTTTGGGATCACTGAATGGGCGATATTCCCAAACCCAAATCCTCAACAGTATTCTTTCTACTCAGTGCAGATATAATGCATTTATTACAGATATGTATAAAAGTCAAGAAATACATAAGAATGTTTCGAAATATTTTGACATAACTTTCTCAACATTGAATGATTTAGTTGAAAATGGATTTATTTACAACTTTGAGCAACGGCGTAAAGAAAAGTATCACTTTCAACAACTAAAATCGAGAGAGTGATTGTGTTCAAATAATGTATTACAATTTTCATGAGTACAATCACAATAAGGGCACTCAAAAGTTTCATCACAGAGCTTCCATAATGCTGACATATCAGTACAAATGTATACTGTAACAGGTAAGAGAAAATATTATTCTAGAAAAATATCCAAAATTGATGGAACATGTTGTAATTGACGTCCTCCATGCAAAGCTTCGAATAGTTGGAAATTTGCTGGCCAAACTAATGCTGCAACTTGTTCCAAATGAATTAGAAGCAATCAAAGATGTCATTCGAAAGTTCCCATCCTTCTCAAATTTTGAATTTAAAGAAAAAGCCTTTTACAAGAAACAGTTGGTCATGGAGTCAAATCATGTCTTCGAATCACCATACCTCAATGACAAGCAAGCCGATACCTTATTACTCAATTTTGAGAAAATTTTTTTGGAGGCTTTAGACAAAAGCAGCTTTGATTCACAGGATGTTGCTATCTGGTCAATGTTTCGATATATAATTTACGGTTACATGGAGCCTACTCAGTTACTGGAAAAGCAAAATATTGAGCAAGATTTAATCCCAACTCTGAAAAAGTTAAATGAGATTCTTCGTTTGCATTATCCCAATGAAAAGGTTGGATATTATGTTCATATTATTTTGAACCATCTGCCTTATTTATTGAGGAAATATGGCAGTCTAACTCGTTTTATGAATCAAGGTTGTGAAAGCGTTCATAGCTTAGGTCGATTGATTAATGAAAGAAAATCGAATCACAAAGCAAAAGGCTCGCTTCCCGGGTTTTCTGAATGTGTATTATTGCCTTTGAGAGTGTTGTATATGTCAACTAGACGAGGAAGGGATTGGATTGGCACTACACAAGAAGACAAATCATTATCAAAACATTGGCAGGAAATGCTTGAAGGGTGGAAACACGATGTCTCTGAAATAGATCTGAATGATGAAGCTTTCGAAAAACTCGAGAAGAGTGCCGAAGGAGCTTCGTTGTCAAGCGCTGTCGTCAAAAAAACACATATGGGAGAAAGCTGAAAGGAAAACAAGCACCGTTAGGAAGAAAATTCAACGTCGAAGAAGGGTTATTGACAACGGAGCGAGTAAAAGGACGTCAACAACTACAAATACTTCAATTAAGGCATATGTATACGTTGTCAGAAACAACATGCAAAATGTGACCACAAATCACCACGCTCAAATTGTGTGAGAGTGGGAGCTCAATGTATTTATGAGCCGATAAAGAAGAGAGGAAGAAAGCAGAAATCAGTACCAGCTCAAAAGACTCCTAAATCGACGGAAAAAAGACAACCACTCAATAGGGAACCTTATGTAGAAAATTTTGAATCTGATAATGTGGAATCTGGCACAGCAATCGACAACGAAATTTTCCTCATACCAATACATTTAAATCTTGATGATATTTCATCATATACACTCGATGATGAATACTATTGGTTGATGATCATGTAGAGATGAAATAATCCAAATTCCGAATTTTAAATGATGATAACTGATGAATGAATCATCGCTGATGGTGTTGTTGTGAATTTTTAAAGACTGATGATGATTTTTGTTATCAATACAAAGACATCCACTTGATTCTGGGAGAATAGATTTTTGAAACACAACTCGTTCGCAACGAACAACGAACTGCAGCAGGGTGGCATCCTACTCGTAGATACCATACCGTACAGACCTGAATGAATCGCTAACGGGCCTAATACCCTCTATGGATTCACTTGTGAATACCTTTACAGGTAATTTCACGATTCTCAGATCAAAGCATAGCATCCTCACCCTACAACTCCAAGGCAAAACGAGCTACCCCTAGTCCTGGATTGTCGTTGTATTGCATTATGATGAAGTTACTGGAATTTCCATCAATAGGGTATATCGAAGATTTGTACAATCTAAGGAACTGTTGTATTATATAGATTACACTACCAATCAAGATTTGGCCTCTGAAATGCTTAAACTATTAGTAATCAAAAATGTGCCAAGTTCAGTACTCTATTCGATCAAAATATCATATCTGCTAATTATTTCAAGCTTAACAAATTTAGAAGAAAAGGCAATTCGAAACTTCAAATTACAAAGTATTTTTGACAGTGAATAAGAGTTGATAAAATTTGGCGTCAAAAGCAGTTCTCTAGGTGCGAGAAGCTTGATTGTTTGAAAATGGTTAAAATATTTGTATAAAGTAAATGCCACCAGAAATAATAAATACATACCTCCAAATCCACCTCCTAGACATTTCAGCTTGGTAATCAATCACCTTATTATCTGGAACTCCCAAAATAGAAGCAACCATGGTTTGAGCGGAGTATGAGAAGGACTTTGTGTCGAGGAAAAGACCAAACCATATGATTTAAGATCAGTCTCTGCAAGAATAAATCCCATGAGCTGACTCACGTGAGGAATAATTCTTCCTCGTCATGTATGACAGCTTCAACTCAATTTGATCCTTTCACATGTCCAATGGATAAGCTTATGGAAGCTAGACAAGAGTACACTTTTTTCCTCCTTAATGAGTTGTCTCAAAGAACAATCTTTCAATAATTGAATGTTAAACTTGTAGAAGAGCTTAAGATCAGGGTCATCTATATTCAGACATTCCTCCAGGAACGTTTTGAGGGAGAGGTACATGTTGTTGAAGTAATTTAATGGCTCGTTGGCATGTTTCATTAGAGAGAGTGTTTCCTGTCATTCTATTGAACGGTTTTAGAAGCAGGAACGGTTTTAACATTCCCCCAAATGCAAGTTGGCAAGTATGAATTTTTCCAGTCTCTTTTTCTACAACCATACTCATTCCAGCATTGACAATAGTAATATTGTCCTCTTAATTTGTTCAATCCGTTATATTGATTGAGGATGGCAGACTCTCCATGGTCTTTGAAAAAGTTCAACATGATAGTCAGAGTCACAGAGGCACCAATCTCAATGCTTTTTCCTAGTAACAAACTATTGGAAGAGGAATTCTCTTGAGGATTGGTTTCTTCTGCATAATGAATTTTCTTTACCAATAATTCCTTCTCAAAGCTTCAATGTGTCTCTAAATAACTACCGAGGATGAATTCATCCGACTTACATTTTTACATACCCTCCAGTTAATACTGTTCAAGCTTGTTGCACATCATGATAATGTGTTGTACAATCAATTCCGAGTGGTTTTTCTGGAACTGTGGCAACCAACTGGTCCAGCGTTCGAATCCCAGGGGTTGCTGCTGTTATCGTGAGCAGTTTAAACACCTTTACTTCCGGGGTGCCTGCTAGGAAGTCACTACGTATCTTACGTTCGGCTTGTAAATAATGTACATAAAACCATCGAACAACGTTTATCATCGAATAAACCCATCCCTGAATTTTTGTTTGTGGGAGTGGTCATTTTTCGAAAAAATGTCTGAAAACCAAACCGCCCTCGGCGATGAAGACACTAATCACCTTCGCCATCACGCCTCTATCAAAGAGGTCGCTATTCGCCCGCATACTGCAAACAAATCTCTTTCTGCTCAAAAATCGGCACATGATAAATGGAGAGAAGAAATGGAAAATGAAATTCTAGAGGCTCCGTCTTCCGTCAATATAGCCAATTTGTCGGAAATACAACCAAGCCCACCCAGCATATACAACTCCCCAATGTTGTCGCAGCCAGAGGTCTCTAATATTACTACAACCTCTGGAGTCTCAGTTTTTAATACCTCAGCCATGACCGATGACCATTCTACTAAATTGAAGCGACATCATAAGCTCTTCAGAGTGGTAGCCTTTACTACCAACTCTGTCGAAGAAGTCCTTGCAACCGTCGCAATGAATGCCGATACGTTGTACGGTAGTAGAGTTGTCAGTGAATTAGATTGTATTATCTTCTTCTTCAAGTCGCGCAAATTGGCAAACCAAGCAATATCTGCTGGTGCTAAGTCCAAGCTCACTATGATACCTCAAACCGTCAAAACATCATTCCGTTATAAGGTCGACAAGGATTTAGACAAGACTAATATGCATTCTATTATCTCAACCCTTGGTTCTTCTATCAACAATATCAATTTTAGCAAGATGGATGATCAGGAATTTTGGGCTATTGGTACTAATATTGAGTTACCTGCCAATCATTTGAAGAAATTTAAGCTTTCCAAAATGAGAACAGATATCTCTCGCTTCCGTATTGCCTTTAATGGTAAAGAAAAAGATCTTCCTAAACTCAAGGGTGCCATTAGTTCCCAATGGAAAGTCAAGATTGAGAGTATCGAGTTGGCTAAGAAGATGGCTGTTGTTGGCATTAAAAAGATCAAATTACCAATAACATTACCAAGTTCGTCCAAGTTGGTAATTATAGTTTCAGAAACCTCTCATTCTCTACTAGAGTTGCCAATTCTATCAGTCACAGAATGGAAGCTGTTGAAAAACAAATGTCTGAAATGTCATCAGCTCTCCAAAAATTGACAAAGGAAATGGTTGTCTGGTCTGGTAAAAAGGTCACGGAAGGCTTTAATAAGATCAACAAAGCTGTTGAAGAAATTAATCAAAAAATCAACGCTCTCTTAGGTACTACTACTCGCAACAAGGGTAAAAGTGGGCATAAGAAGGGCCGACATTCCCTTTAATGGACCCTCATTCTAAAAGAAACTCCTTCAATTTAGGTACTGCTAATTTTGGAGGAGTTGGCTGGGTAAAACAATCTCAATTACTTACCTTAGCCCGCAAATATGAACTGGATGTCCTTAATATCCAGGAAACTCATTTAAAATCCAGTACGAAAGACTATTGGAATATATGGTATTTCAGATCCTTCTTTCGTGGCTACTTAGTTTACAATTCCAACGCCACTGAAGGTGATAATGGAGCAGGAATTGCTACTATTATCAGACCGTCACCTTTTATTAAGGTACTCCAATTCGTCGAACATATTCAAGGCAGATTATCAGAAGTCATTTTGGAACATAAATACCTAGGTGTGGCTCGCATTTTCAATTGGTATGGCCCGGCTAACAAAAACAAACTAGAATTCATGAATAAGGCTCTCAATATTATCAACATTTCTACTCAAACAGCGGTCTTTCATGGTGAACGTATTGTCATATTGGGAGATTTGAATGCCAATACTAAAACATTCAATAAGGTATCTTATGCCGCCCATGAACGACTATTAATTGACCAATGTGACAAATTGAAATTCTTTGATGTTGTTCCTATTCCAAACACACCTTCGTTTTCTCAACGCAACAAATACTCTCATGGTTTTTCTCGCCCGGACCATATTATTACTTCCCACAATGATTATTCTGGTGTAGAAGATGTTCCTACTGCTTATTCTCACAAACTTTTAACTATCTCCTTCCCCAGTAATCCCATTTTAGACTTCCCAGAACAGTTCAACAAATATATTATCCATCCTAAAATTTTACAATCCAAGATGAAGGAAATTAATAACGATTTTGCTAAGGAAAACCCTGACACTCTTTTAGAAGCCCAAAATACCCTTGCTAAAATTGTGAAGAAATATGGTTCTCTTAGCACAAACAAGCCCTCATTGATCACTGATAATCGTAATGTCAGACAATTTCAGACTTTTATTTTCGATTTGAAACAATATCTCTATAAGCGTAAACATGTTTCTACTATCACCAGCCAATTTTTGAACAATAATTTTAGCCTCAACAATGTCAAGGCTAAATTAGAGGAAGCTAAAACCTCACTCAACAAGCTTATTGGATCTTTATTGGCTGACCGTAAACGGGTCTTTGTGAATAGAATTAACAATCTTAACTCTAAACAACTGTATTCCTATGCCTTCAGAAAAGAACTAGTCAGTCCTTCTATACTCAATGTAGTCCAAAGTAACCATAACTCGACAATTGTAGATCATTTTTCAGCCATGTTTAATACAGAACAAGAAGTGACTAAAACTCTCCCGGAAATCAAGAAAAACAATACTGTAGCCCAATGGAAATTCCATCATATCACTGCCAAAGAGTTGGATAAAGTTATTTCTAAGACAAAAAATTCTATGGCTGGCTATGATAACATTTCGGTGCCATTGTTGAAAATTCTAGACAACAATTCGCTCCAAATACTTGCAAAATGTATCAATCACACAATTGACAGTGAAATGGTTCCTAAAGAATTGGGTATCGGTATTCTACTCCCATTACCCAAAAATCAACATGCCTTCAAAATTATCAGACTTTAGACCTATAGTTGTATTATCCGTGATCTATCGTCTATTTTCTTCTATTATCAACAAACAATTCATGAATGTCCTTGAAGAGGCTAATTTAATCCACACTGCGCAACGAGGATTCATGAAAAAAGGTTCAACATCAGAACACCTTATCAGTCTTCGGACTGCCTTTGCATACAAATATCAGCACAAACAAGAAGTATTTGCTATGGCTCTGGATATCAAAAATGCTTATGGATCAGTAATCCATAAAAGATTTATCAGCATTCTCAAGAAACATGGTTTCCATAGCTCTGTCATTAATCTCTTGACATCCATGATCTCCAATAGCGTTATGAAAGTACTAGTCAACGGATTTCTATCCTCCCCTTTCGATGCGAATGTTGGAGTTCCGCAAGGCGATCCTTCAAGCCCGGCATGGTTTAATCTTTATATTAACTCCTCAACTAACATACAAGAAAAGCTTAAAGGAGTTCAAATATTTAATATTACCATCCTTTTATTATATGCCGATGATATTTTATTGATAGCTAATACTAAGATCGAAATGAATTCCTCTCTAAAAAGCCTCGGCCGTGAATTAAAGAAAATAGGACTCGCTTTAGCTCCCAAGAAATGCAAACTCTTAGCTATTACAGCCAAAGCCAAACTATCTAAGGCCCTAGTCACTATTGGACAGGATATAATTGCCACATCTTCTTCTATTGAATATCTTGGGGGTATATGTACCTTTAAGAATGATTTTTCTTGGTCCTCTGATAATCCAATCAACAAAATCTCGAATCAACTGGCATCAGCTAAAACTTCTAATCTATATCTCAACAGCATCACCACTACATTAATGTCCAAAATCATATCTTTGCCTAGATATGCCTGTAGTTTCAATGGAATCAATAAGAATTCTCTAGACAAAGCAGATATTATGGTTGCTAATTTTGTCAGAAAGGCTATTGGATTAGATTACACATTATCAAAATCAGTCATTTTTAATTGCAAACAAATTGGGGGCCTTGGTATTACTCGCCCCTCTACTTTATTCTCCATTGAACCTATTTGCACAGCAGTTAGATTATTCAACTCCTCCTCCACCATCACCAAAAATATTGCTTTGGCTGCTTGGAATGATCTTACCTTTAACGAACCATTTTGGAACCACGTGAAAAATATCGCGGCTCAAAATAATTGGTCTCTCCATTACATTGATGAACGGTATTCATTTGTCAATGAATACGAAACCCCTGTCGACCCTAGAGCTGAATTACTAAACAACGATAGATCAACCATGAGCATCTCAGGCCTTGGAATCTTAGACCATAATAGAACCTGGCATCCATGTACCATCTCCTTTTGGAGCAATTATTCACTCAAACCCTTCCAACAACGACTATTATTTGCTCACCTACACAAAGCAGAAATCCTTAGAAATTTCGGAAAAGATTACCCTAATTGCCACATTTGCAATACCAAAGCCAACTGGGAACATGTATTCACCTCATGCACCATGTGTGGTCCGGAAATCAAATCATTATACACAAAATGGGACAACAGTTCCCTCAAATTCAATGCCCCTCTTATCAGACTTCCCTCAAACCATTCTCTCTCTTGTATTCCAATGGATTGGAATGGTAGTATCAAAGACGAACCTCTTCAACAATTAGACTTATCTCCCCCAGCTTTGACTGATTGGCTAAATGAAATATATCTCTCATTCGCTGCCTATGTTGGCAGTTGTTACAAAAACGCCACTTGGAACAGTTCAACTGTACTCAAGAAGGCTAGAGGATATATAATTAAACCCAAAACTGCAAAATTTGCAACTGCTTGGGAAACATTTAGCAGTCAGCTTGGCGAACTCAACTCCAACAACATCTACACCTCACACCTACACACCCATTAGACACACTATCGTCGGACAATTGAGTACCTATAATTTGTTTATTTTTCAATAAACCCATTCCTGTATTTTTGTTTGTGGGAGTAACAAAGAATAAATTGGCTTGCAAATAAAGCAGAACAAAAATTTAGGTACCAGAGGCAAGCACTCGTTAACCCCTTGGCATATTTGCCGGATGCACCAAAATTCGATAGTAGCTCTATTCCTTTCCAGCCTATACATTGATATGGAAGAGAAGTTTCCGGCAAACCTTCCACACAGTGAAAAACCCCTCGTGAGCTTGGAAAAACTTTTTGAAAGTCAAAGATAAGAGTCATACATTTCTGTCTGTAATTTTTATTGAACAAAACTTTATATTCATGGTTATTGGCTATCCATGAATCATGATTTCAAGTATTGTCAGTCTAACTGATTTATTGACGAAATACCAGTATTCAGATTTCGAAAACAGGTATGAAACCTCTACTATCGAGTTTTTCGCTTGCTAAATTTTTAGCAGGTTTTGTTGCGAAAAATTTTTCCGGCACACGAATTGATTTAAAAAAATATTTTGACGTGATGAAAAACGTTGCTAGCCATTTATTTCGTGGTAAACAAGCCTCATCAACAACACCAACACTCTCTTTCTCTCGGTTTTTCAGAGGTGTAGTTTTTGGTGTTGATACACTTGGTTCAGACTCTAACCTCTCGCTTCGGAAATCTTTGTCCAATCATCACCATACAAGGAACACTTCGGTACGCTCTTTCCATACATTATCTTCCTTGTTGGCAAAAGATGAAGTAACAACAAAAAGTCTTTCTTCTTCTACCGGACCGGGAGGAAATGGAAGTGGTGATGAGCACAACCATGTAGAACAACCAACCGCTAATAATGACAATTCTCAAGCGTCTAAAATTGTAGCCCTCTCTTTCAACCAGTACAAGAAATGGACAGCCCAAGAAGTTGCTTCCATTTTGACTTTGGATGATGACGCTGGTGGAGCCGCATTGTCCGTTGATGATGTTAAACCTCTCGTTGAAGCTGGTTTCAAAGGAAACTCTCTTGATAACATTGTAAAGGATATCAAAGAGGTCGGAAGGCTAGCTGCTATTGCCTCCTTGACTCAAAGCAAAGACTGTACTCAAGTTCCGTCAAGTACTTGCAAGACTGTTGTTAATTGGGTCAATGAAACATTAATGCCCAAACTTTTTCGTTTGTGGGACAAGGATCAAACAAAGGATGCATTGTGCCAATCAAAACTAAACGGTGGGGCTGG